TTACTATTTCAGCACAAAGTTCCAAAAAACTATTGGTCTCAAGCAATCCTTACTGCATCATATCTGATAAATCAAATGCCATCCAAGGTATTGGAGATGAAAACTCCTTTTTCTGTTCTTTGCCCTCACCTTCCTGACTTTTCTCTTCCACCGAGAGTCTTTGGTTGTGTTTGCTTTGTACATGTCAAGGATCCGCAGAAGACCAAATTGGATCCTAGGGCTACGAAGGGAATCTTTTTGGGGTATTCTCCTACTCAGAAGGGGTACAAGTGTTATGATCTAGTCACCAAGAAAAAATGTCACAAAGGATGTGGTATTCTTTGAGTCTCAATCCTATTTTCATTCTTCCCAGAATCCTCTTTAGGGGGAGACTAGTGGGATGGAAGAGGATCATTTTGTTCCCTCCTTTGTGCCTCTCTCTACCTCGGACCTTCCATCTTCTCCTCCTTATCCACCTAGTTGTGGTATTCCAGGTGATTGTAGTGAGGCTCCCATTGTTCCAGCTACTACTGAAGACTCCGTCAGGCAGCAAAAAGATATCAGAATCACCTACAACAGAAGGAAGAAGGGTCCTCTAACTCATGACAGCAACCAATTGGACTCGGATCAACTTGTCTCAGAAACTCAAGGTAATCCTATCAATTCCTCTGACTTGGATCTTCCTATTGCCCTTCGTAAGTCTACCCGTTCTTGTACTATCAGACACCTCATTGCTGATTTTGTGTCTTACTCGCAATTGTCTCCTCGTTATTGTTCTTTTGTGTTTGTTCTCTCTTCTGTGCATGTCCCTACTAGGTATTCAGAGGCAGTATCTGATCCACTAAGGACTTGAGAATTAGTGGATCTACCAGAAGGGAAAGACATTGTTGGATGCAAGTGGGTGTTCACTGTGAAGCATAGGGAGGAYGGGTYCATTGAAAGGTAYAAGGCTAGACTGGTAGCAAAAGGGTTTACTCAAAAAGAAGGGATTGACTACAAAGAAACCTTTGCTCCAGTAGCAAAACTCAACACAATCCGAGTTCTATTATCATTAGCTACAAATTTCTCATGGGAGCTACATCAGTTGGATGTGAAGAATGCTTTCTTAAATGGCGACCTACATGAAGAGGTATTCATGGATCCTCCACCAGGTTATGGGTTTGGAAAGAAGGTATGTAGACTGAGAAAAGCTCTATACGGTCTTAAGCAGTCCCCTCGTGCTTGGTTTGAGAAGCTATGTAGGGCCATGAAGAAAGGGGGGGTTACACTCAAAGTGGGGCAGATCATACCCTGTTCATAAGGAAGAGAAATGGCAAACTTACAGCACTTATTGTCTATGTGGATGATATGGTAATTACAGGGGATGATCAGGAAGAGATTAAAAGACTAAAGGAGGTCTTGACTGCTGAATTTGAGATCAAAGACCTGGGCCAACTGAGATACTTTCTTGGGATTGAAGTTGCTAGATCCAAAGAGGGCATCTATATATGTCAGCGGAAATACATCATTGATCTTCTACAAGAGACAGGCATGATGGTGTGTAGGCCAGCAGATACTCCAATAGAACAGAACCATGGTCTACAGGAGTTTGTAGGAGAGGACTACCTTGATAAGGAAAGATACCAAAAGCTGGTGGGGAAGTTGATTTACCTGTCCYTCACTCGCCYTGAYRTTGMTTATGYTRTACATGTTGTCAGTCAGTTCATGCACACTCCTAAAATCCCTCACATGAAAGTTGTGGAAAGGATCCTCAGATATTTGAAGTCTTGCCCGGGGAAAGG